CGTTATTAGAGTGATTAAGATAATTTTGGCACAGTTAGGATGCTTCATGTGTTCAGGTATTTCAAAGGTATGCAGTTTAGCCATAAATTTCGAAGTTGCGACTATGATAGGAGTAATTATTAATTAAATTCGTAATTCGTAATTCATGTGGATTAATAATAAACTACGAATTCGTTAGGTTATGGTTTCGATAGAAAGAGTTATTTATCTATGTATACTAATGTATGTAAACAATTTATAAAATTTGATACATTGTAGAAGGATAATGTTATTAATGTTATGCACTTATGCAATTTTAATAGAACGTAATATATTCGTGATAGTATTATAACAGTAATATGTCGTAATATAACAATATGTTTTTGATTAATTCTGCTTATTATACGCTGGTCCAATTTGGATCGATTATAATTTATTTACTACTACATCCTTTGTGGACAAATGACGTATATCGTGATACAAAATAATTTTATTACTAAATACTAGTATTCTCGATACTTTTGTTTTAAAGAATATTTATCGAATCCTTATTTCCATTTGATATATGCTTCTTAGAATAGAATTGTATTTTAATTCTAGTTTTTTATCGAATAGGAGAATTAAACGTTCGTGTGTACGTACATGTACCAAAAACTGGGATATTCAATGAGCTTATCCTTTTCTCCTCGATACACCCACCTTTACACCTACAATTTTGCAAGTACAGACGCCCACGCATTACTCTACACCCTACACAACGGTAACAAATTTTGATCAATCTTTCTTTCGATACTTGAGATTATAGTGGGGGACAAAACTGCATCTATTGTGTACATATGTCTTATGTCTTTACGTTTAAAGTAGTATGGTTATTTCTTTTTTTCAGCGAAGTATGAATTCGAATGACTTTGTTAAAAAAAAACTGGTTCCTTGTTTAATATTTTTTATTTATTTTAAACAATATATGTTGTTAAAACGATCTTAAAATTTGCGTTTAATGCTGAAATACAAATTCGTAATTTTTCAGGTACATATCTACATTCAGGAGAAAGATATTTTTATATCAGGAAATGTATCAGAGCATGATGAAATGCATTATTAGATTTATAAGCATTGATTAAGTAAAATCGTATTATTAAATTCAAGTGCTTATTAAATATAATATATTCTGATGCAAGAAAAAAGTAATTATTTGTTTGATACTAATTTTATTCATCTAATTTATCTAACATATGTTAATAAATTTTAAATTTAAGGTAAGCGAATTAATAATACATACTAGTTTTATGAAATTAAAATATTTACATAAATGCATTCATATATAACTTTTAATCTCACAATTCTGAGATTACTATCTATACGTATATGTGTTGCTCTTGTTCCAGCAAACTACAATGCGTATCCATCAATCTATCAACGATATTACGCGATGACGACATCCAAGACGTCATCTGTTAACTGCTTTACGAAACTTTGTATTACACTTAAAAATGTAAGTATTTTGATAAATTGTGTAATATCTTAATTGTAAATGTTGTAATTTGGTGAAAGAGGAAACGCAAGGCAGTTTTTGATAATCACGTTTTATTTTTATACAACCATACTCTATAGTATCTTGCGCTTGACTGACGTCTTTTCTTAAAACAATTGAAAGCAACTATTACAATATGTGCCCGCTGATGGCGTCATTGTTCCTGCGTTGATAGAATCGATTTCTTGCTTATCGATTTCGCTAATAGTAAAAAAGACTTGATATTAAATACTTAACATTTAAACTTTAAAATATGATGAAATTTTACACTTATCTTCTTCAATTTTTTTTTTTTTAGGTTTAACATTTCAATTAACGTTAATTTTTATTAGTAATACTAGAACTAGAAAAAATCTTATTATTACTTTAATATTTTACAAATTGAAAAAAAAAGAAATTGTTGATGATTTTTGAACTTACACTTGTTGACAAAAGTTGAGAAACAAAGTATCCATTTTCGAATTTTGGTATATTTTTTGTTTACCAATATATATATATTAAAAATTGAATGTAGAAATAACATTATATACTAGTAAATAATATTTTTTCAAATATTCCGTATAAAGTCAATTTTTAATTTTAGTCTACGTATTTAAAAAAAAAAGAATACATAAAAATTCACAAATTATTACTTCGTTTCTTAATTTTTATCAATCAGTGTATATCACTTAAACTAATCCTTTGACCGATTTAAAATCTATAAAGGAAAATATCCACGTCTCTACCATTGAAAGGTCGCAGCAACTTAAAAAATTAAACGTGCTTAGTTAATTGTATGAAACATACTTTGAAATAATTTAATTTTCATTTCATTTTCATTTAAATGCAAAATGCAAAATTAACGCAAGAACAAGGACAAATAGTATTAAAAAAAATATATTTCATTTACAGGACAATTTTTGCATTGCAGATTTCTTATTCGTCGAATTGAGAACGACCCAGATCCTATAAATGATACATCCTGTACAGCTTGGTCATATCAAAGGAGAAAGGAGGGGAGTGTGTGATAAAGCTAGAGAAAGGGAGGGGAGAGGATGTTCTCGATCGTTAAAGCGCCACAGTACCCCGCCACGTGATCTTCACGCCCAAGGTATACATTCATAAACGTGAAGCTGCGCTAATTCTTTGTACATCAACTAATGCTTTTACTAATGACGATTTTTTGAAAAGTGAATCAGGATCGATCTATCAATCGATCGTGCTAACAATTTTTCATAGAAATATTTCTTTATTCGTATTACATTTTATACCCGTTCGTGTCTTATATCTATTTTTATTTGTACTATTGACATGTGTATGTGGAGTAAAAATAAATTTTTCTTTTATTTTAGGTCAAGTTTTCAAATTAGTAACAGTGTTACGATAATTTATTTTGAATTAAGTTCACGCCTTGAGTAACTGGAATGCAACAGTTCGTTTCATTCATGTGTTAATATATAAGTACTATTTTATCACCATTGATGCTGATGTAGAGTATTTAAAAGGTTAATGAAGAAAGTACAATTTGTTATCAAATAAGCAATCGTTTTGATGTTAGATTAAGTTTAGAATGGTTTTTTTAATTGCATGTAATAATTTACTTATATTTTGCAAATATTTTTGATATTGGTTATTTAGCTTGTTTGTGTGATGTATTATTATCTTGTTTAGAAAAATTGATAATTAATGTAACAATTAGTTGGATTAGTTAATGTTTTACATTTTGTAATATCTATTTTGTAAAATTTGTATATTTAGAAGATACATAATATTAAAGTATATAATTTTGGTTTTAAATTATCTGTTAGATATCAATAACAATATTAACAATAATAATATTAAAAAAATAATTTCCCCAAATACAATCTCAATACATAAAGAAATATTTTAAGTATTTATCAAATTGCGTTCGAGAACATGCCATTAGTAAGCATTTCATTCATCATGTATTTACTCCTCGTCATTTATTAAGACCTGACAATACGGAGTAGAAAAATTGACATGTTAAAAGTTAGTACACCAAACATATCTTATAACAAGCATAACCGACTCCCATGTGCATCGAAAGTTTCCACATGGATGTACCATCACCAGTCCCGGATGGACCATTGCAACCATGAGTTTCAATCATTTAACCAGGACAATCGTTATCTCGAAATCGTCCACGACGATTGCAGTGACACCTGTTTCTCCGTAGAACGGAACCTGATTTGTCTGATCAACCCTACCTTGGCTGAAGGTCGTCGTTGGAGGGATATAAATAAAAGTGGAGTGGCTGTATGACTGTGACTGTGTAGCTGGACTCTCGCATTGAGCGGTGGGCTCCATTCATGATTTTGCGGCGCACGCGCTCTTCCAGGCATGGAAACTGTTCCACCGGCTATGTAGGTGCTGGACTACGTACGTAGATGCATGCACTCGTACGTTCTCATCTCTCGTAAAAGAAAACGCTGCAAGTAAAAAATACCGATCTCCTGTGCACCTAGGCAACGAGAGCGATCGTTCGGAATAATAACGGGTAAGCGACAATGCGGGGGGATCGAGTTTCTGACTGAAAACTTTTCGTATATGTCCACGCGCGAGCGCTATACCATTCTCGCGTAGTGTCATGCATGGAGAGGTACAGACTCTTCTACTCGTTGCTTGGTCATTCATTTATTCTGCACCTGGCGAATAACACGTTCGACTGGATCCGAACCTCATTGCATATGGATACATATTGTTGCGCGCTACTACTTCCGCGTAGTCATGTTGACGCCGGGAGAACCCACGGCGTGATCTCCGCGTTCGATCTGGAAAGAAAACGAGTTTCGAATCTGGTAATCATTCTTTCTGTGACTATATAAACTCGACTGACGCGAATTACTCGTCCACGGGGAAGCATAGACATTGAATCGGATGAAAGTAGAAGAAAAGGGATGATAGGATGACATACAGTAGGAGAGGGAGAGGGGGATGGAGCAAGAGAGAGAGAGAAAAAGAGAGCACTGTGTGCCGGGAATTCGAACGTAGAAAGGATAGTGCGGGGGTGTGAATCACCGATTCGAATTTGGGGGGGGGGGGTAAAAATGCATTCTTTCGATTGGTTGAGGAAAGCTCGCTCGCTTGGCGAAATTGAGCGGCCAGGGCAGGACGAGGTGGCGGAGGAAGGGAGCTAGAGAGGGGGAAGAGAGTGCTGGGGGACTCGAGTTTCAACGGGATTCAGTCGAGTAGTTGAATTCAAGGGATCAGTGTAGACCGGAGGCTCGACGCGTTGCATATAATTTCGTTCCCGGCGAACACGTGCGGATGCCGATAATAATTTAGTGCTTCAACGAAAGCCAACGTGAATTTGACTGGCATGTAACGAGTGGAAGATTTATAAAAGAATCAGAAATTATTTTTCTCCTCCGTTGAGACGAAACACGTGTTCTGACTCTATTTTCCGGCATTTTCTCTTTCTTTATTTTCTTTGAATTGTCATCGATTAGGTTCGAATTGTGGAATTAGATGGTGCTTGCTGCTTTGAACAAATGACGTACTAAACGAACATTTGTGAAGACTCATCGTGGCGAAGGTATTTATGTTATATTATATAGCTAGTTTATAGTTCATTGGTTTGCTATAGTTTGGGTAAGCAACTCGATCGTTAGATAAGGATAAAGAAGCGATAGTCTCGTTTTACGTGGCTGGAAATAAACGAATGCGTGTTACGTTCGCGATGAAATGAAAGTGAAAACTGTCTCGTTGATTTTTGATTTTCGGTTAGTTCGAAGGTATTATTATAATCGTTATGTCAAGTAGAACGACACAAAGAGGTAATTAGGGGGCTCAAAAGTCGCTTGTCACTCAGGTCAAACGTGTGTTCGTTTACATTCTCATATTTGTGTCGTAAAGTGCTGTTCTCGGACGACATTGAAATTCGAACGAAAGGGAAAGTATATCTACGACGGCGCTGTCCAACGACGATGAAATCGAAATTTGGAAAGTTTGTTCGTTTTCATTGGTTCGTTGTATGCGTCTATAACCAAACATTTTTTTCATGAAGTTTAAAAATATCGTTGAATAAGAATGCTATAATGTTGCGATAAATTTACATATGACTACAATGTCGCTAATATGTATATGGTTATGTCTTTTTCTAAATCACGTAGATATATAAATATGTTTGTAGTAATTATACATATTAATTTATAACAATTTGGATACAAGAAATTTTATAATCGAATGTTAATTAAATATTTCTTTTTTTAAATTTAATTAAATATTTCTTTTTTTAAATTTATTAAACTTATTCTTAAGTAAATCGGAATTATGTTTTAACTGTTTCGTAGAAATTCAGTTGTGAAGAATTTAATAAACCTTTAGATAGTAATTGCTTGAAATCGTGTAATTGTGTATATACACCCGTATAATATTCAATGGATGCGCATGCGCACTTGTTTTCCCATATCTACGAAATAAATCTCTTTTACTATAGAAAATTTTCGATCTATATTCGTGCTGTATTTATTTATAATGCTTGTTCTATTTCCATTTTGAAAAATATGTTATAATTTAATATATACTATAATTCCTTATCTTCTTGCGTATATTTAATAGGAGATCTAGTTCCATAGAAGATCTAGAAAAATTATTAGAGATTGCTATAGTGCATAGCCGTCTTTTGTCATACTTGTAGCATAGTCTTCTCTAAAGTTCGCTAATTTTTTATATTTGTTTACAAAACTTATTTATAAAAAGACACAGCACAGTTATATCATAAATTAACAATAGTTAATAATTTTCTTTACAATTTAAAATATTTTATATATTTTTATTCCAATTATATAACTTTGTGTTGCTTTTCAATTAATTTAACAAAAACTGGAAGTTTTTTAATTTCATTTTTCTTATTGATTTTTACAAACAGATAATTCATCTTACAAGATTTTCTTAGACAATTAAAAATTTGATAGAATTAAGAAGAGAAGTACATATTAGCTGTACAAACAAATAAATTTTTGAACGTGTTTCCTGTAAAAAAAAAATGTGTCGTGTATATCTAGTAGTTCAAACAGGAAATACCCCGATAATTTTCTTTCTTTCTCCTTTTTCGCTATGTTTCAAAGTGTAAAGTTCCAAATACGAGTTCCAAATCTCGAATCTGCGTTTACGATTCCTAGGGATTTCCTCGTCGTTATACGTTACTGGGACTTTTAGAGGATGACAGATACTTCACTTTCTCTTTCTTTTTGACCCTCGAGAAGAATAGCAGGTCTAACCTTGGTCGCCATGGCGATTTCAAGGATAGCACCCTCAAACTGCTGCAGACCAGCTGCTGGAAAAACGGAAAAGGGAAAAGTTTGCAGGCCAATGTGTAGCGTTTTCGTTTGAAACTGCTGTAAACCAGACGCCCGGTTCCTTTGTGGAAAACCCATCCATGATTCTTGCTATTTACAGTGAACGAGCTTCCATGAACGCTTCGACGTTACCAAATATGTGCAACTATAGGGAAAAGAAATTTATTTTATCATACTATATAATTTGTTTCGTTGTATTATAATTACACAAGAGCTGCAGAATAATTTTTTTTGTATTCTATAGAGTAATTGAAGAAATAATAAATTAAATTTGGAGAATAATAAATAACTATTCTGAAAAGATCATTTTTCTTTTTATTTGTCTTCTGTAGAGTAATTGATGAATAATAAATTAAATTTAGAGACTAATAAATAATTATTCTGAGAAGATAATTTTTTTGTTATTTATATTTTGTAGAATAATTAAACAGTTTCTTTTCCGTCGAATAATTCTTTTTCCATTGGATGATAAAAGTTTCTTCTATGCTGGTAATATTCTTTTCTCGATTCGATGTAAATCTTTTGATGATAAAACAGTTGGGAGTTCATTTAATACTATAAACATAAAAGGACTTCGTAGGTCACATAATACGTTTGATTATGGTATAACTAAGTCTCAGTTTTCGGTAGATATTGCATTACGATATTGAAACTTTTGGACAAATATTTAGATTTTATTTTTACTCTGAATTTAATCTGAGAGAATAATAAAGCTTCATAAATCCTGCTTTACGTTTTTGAAATTAAATGAGCAACTAAATTTATATCTGTAATTTTTTTTAAGTAGAAAACAATTTAATATTTACTTTCCAAATACTAGAGATTTTCATTACATTTTATGTTAAAATTTGTAATTTAGAAGAAAAATGGTAGAATATTCCTATGAATTAGTAAAAATCTATTGTTATTTAAATTTATAATTTGTTTTATTTTTTTAAATTAGTGTAACAGAGTAATTTATATCACTACATATATTATTAATATAACCACTAATATAGGCAAACGTGATTATAAGCTTTTCCAAAATTTAGTGTTAAAAAAATAAGGAATAAAATTCGTTCGTAAATATAAATCCAGAAATATGTCTGCCATTATCCTTAATAATAATAGTTTAATAATAAACACAATAATTTCGGTCTTTTTATTCTAAGGTATCAAACTGTTTTGCAATCAATATTTGTTTAAAATCACAAGAAAATTGGAAAATTTTCAAATATTTTAATAAAAATTATTAATAGTGCTACAAAATTTCAATATTTCCGTTCAACGATTTATATGAAAAATATTTATTCCTCGATAAGTATGAGTTATTTTTATTATTTCAAATTAAATTCGTATCATCATTTTGGCCTGTAATTTAAATGAAACATTATTGATTTTCCTTTATATTTCAATATTTAGCATTATTATATTTTATGTTATATTTGTAGATTTTTATTTTTGGAATCTTTCCCATCCTAATACTATTGGTCACTGACCAAAGTTTGAAACTTTCTGTATGTTTATGTACCGATGTTGACATAACACATGATAACTCTAAACTATATAACTGTTCCTAGTAAGCAATTTCATCGTGTGTTTAACATCTCTACCATTTCCTGGATTTTTAACTTTTATTTAACGATATCTTTATATATCGTTTTAATTATTTATTAAAGCGTGGTAAAGGGCTTTTAAATTCTATTGTGATGGCATTAAAAAAGGAAAAGGTTTGAAATTATAATGGACATTACGTAACATTAATATTGCTAATATTAACTTGAAAAGTGCAAAGGAAAGAGACAAGGGT